TTTTCTTACTTCCCAGGCGTCCCGGCCGGCCTCGGACCCCGGGGACCACGCAGGCTGGAGCGGGCCTTATCTGAAGTCTGGTTTCCCGGAGTGACCAGCTCCTTCAGCTCCTTTGCTTATAGAGAAGTGCCAAATAGGGTCTCCAACACACATCAGAATGCCAGGGCTACCTTCCACTGCAGTCCGCCTACGACTACAACCGACCCAGCCAGTTCCACTGATTGCCACGCTCTAGTCAACCCTCTGAAGGGAATATTTGTGATTAAAATTTGGTTCCACCCGGATAATCCAAACTCCCCACCTCAAGATCCTCGACTTTATCGTGTCTGTCTGCAAAGTCCTATACAAAGTAACATCCACAGGTTCTAGGGGTTCCACCTTGTGAAAAGGCTTACTTCACTATGCTGAAAAATATATCTTTTTGAGGGAAATTTAAGAAAGTCTAAACAAATGAAAGATCAAGCCAGTAATTGGAAAATTCAATGTATCATAGATGTCAGTTCTCCCCAAACTGATGTGTAGATTAAATACAATCGCAAAGCCACAGCAAGATTTTCTGTGTAAACTGACAATGATTCTATGGAAATGCAAACAGCCAAGTCAAGATGAAGGAAAAAGAACAACAGTGGAGGACTTTTGCATTAATTTACAGTAAGGACACATTGAGGTCTGGGGGTAAAAAGAGATAAATAGACCAATGTAGCATTAAGTGATCATTCATGACAGATACATTGACAAGCGTGTTTTTTAAAAATATATATATTTTTAGTTGTCAATGGACATTTATTTATTTATATGTGGTGCCGAGGATCAAACCCAGTGCCTCATGCATTCCAGACAAGCGTGCTACCTGCTGAGCCACAGCCTCAGCCCCATGACAGATACATTGAGTGTCACAAGGTGCCTGATACAATTAGAGGTGCTGGATTCTCAAAGAATTCATTTTTGTGGGCTGGGGACATAGTTCAGTTGGTAGAGGGCTTTCCTCACATGCACAAGGCCCTGGGTCCAATCCCCAGCAAAATACACACACACACACAGTTTTTGTGCTAAATAGAACATTTAAAGGTTAAGTAAAACTGTATTAATTGTATTCACCAAAGCATTCATTGAAAAGTGATTATCACTGTTGGCAAAACTGGAGAAAGGTCCTTGCCATACAGTATTTATTGTCTCAATCAGTTTGAAGAGCCATTTAAAATTTTCCTATAAAAAATTACAATGTAAATGACACTGGAGTCAACAATTTCAATCCAAATACTTCTATACACATACTCATGGATGTTCATTACAATATTTCTAAAATAGAAAATAATCAGAGACAACCTAAATATTTATGTTAACAAATGGTTAGAACTTTAATGATACATACAATGAAATTCCACACAGTGGTTAAAAGATTGGAGATCATCAAATTGTACTACTGCATGCCCCCCTGCAAAATGTTATAATATTGCTATCTATATTACTATATCTATATACATGTATATAGATATAGTAATTGAGGGAAATTTAAGAAAGACTAAACAAATGAAAGATCAAGCCAGTAATTGGAAAATTCAATGTATCATAGATGTCAAGTCTCCCCAAACTGATCTGTAGATTAAATACAATCGCAAAGTCCTGTATGTGGAACGGGACTTCCACATATACATGTATATAGATAATATAGTATTTATTCCATTTATTCTAAGAAATGTGTTTTAGCAAACTGTTCTAAAATAGTTTCATCAGTAAAGAACATCTTCCCCCTTTTAAATTTTTAATTGAAACAATAGTCATGCATATTTATGGAATGTGATAAATACATACACAAATACTATTTGCAATGATCAAATCAGAGTAATTGGCATTTTTATCTCCCTAAACATTTATTGTTTATTTGTATTGGGAATCCTCAAACTCCTCTCTTCTAGTTCTTTATAAAATATTTAATAAACTGTTGTAAACTATTGTCACCTACTGTATTGTAGAGCACTAGAATGTATTCCACCTATCTAACTGCATTTTGGTCCTATTATCAGACCTCCCTCTGGCTCCCCTTCTCCCTACCCCCCCCCCCCCCCCCCCTCCGGCCCCCCTTCTCCCCCCCCCCCCCCCCCAGTCTGTATGGACACTATTCTACTCTGTTCCATGAAGCCAATTTTTCTAGTTTCCACATGAGTGAGAACATGAGGTCTCTGTCTTTCTGTGTCTGGCTTATTTCACAAATGTAACGTCCTTCAGTTCTATCCACATTGGGACAGATTTCATTCTTTTCTATGGCCGAATAACAATTGTGTATTTATGTCATTTTCCTTATGCATTCATCTGTTCTTAGACAACTCCTGATTCCATTTCTTGGCTATCATGAGTCGTACTGCAGTAAACATGAGGATGTGTTATAACTTTGACATACTGATTTCTTCTGGATGGATACCTGTAGTGGGATGGCTGGATTTTATGGAAGTTCTATTTTCAGCTCTTTGAGGGACTCCCATGTCATTTTCTATAATGGTTGTATTAATTTACATTCCCACCAACAGAGTGTAAGTTTTCCTTTCTCAACATCCTTGAAAACATTTAACTTTTTTCTTTTTTATTATCACCATTCTAACTGGAGGGAGATCTCTCACTATGGTTTTGATTTACATTGCCCTGATGATTAGTGATGTTGAGCATTTTTTTCATATGTAAATCTGCTTTTGTGAAATGTCTGTTCGGGTCATTTGCTCATCTTTTTGCTGGGTTATTTGCTGTTGTGATTTTGAGTTCTTTATATACTCTGGATACTAAATTCTCAAATAGTTTGCAAATATTTTCTCACATTTTGCAGGTTGTCTCTTCATTCATTTCCTTTGCTTTGCAGAAGCATCTTAGTTTGACATAATACCACTTTTGCCTGTTTTGAGGATCTAATCCCCCCCAAAAAAAACAAAAAAAAAATATTGCCTAAACACATTGTGAAGTATTCCTCCTGGCCTGAATTATATCCCTGACCAATTTATTTTTGAGATGATTTTCTAACTTAGCATCCTTCTGCCTCAGTCTTCTTAGTAGCTGGGGTTTCAGGCATGTGCCACTGTGATGTCCTCTGCTTTCTAATGGTTTCAGGGTTCACACCTAGGCCTTTGATCCATTCTAATTTATTATTATTTTTTAATGAGGTGCGACATAGGGGTCTAGTTTCATTGTGGATATCTGGTTTTCCCTAGCTGAGAGCCTTATGACCACATTAGTTGTTCCTAAATGGATGGGGTTCACGGTGAAGGAACCACACATCGCTTCTGGACTGGAAGCAGGGGCTGAAGAGTGGCTTGGATGGCCTGGGAAGTCCTGCTTGTGCCAAGCAAAAGGGCCAGCCTACGTGGCCTGCCAGCCACTCCTCTCCACGGCCCTTGGCTCCAGAAATGCTGGTCTCTCTTCCGCCTGCCGCCAAGATTCTTTTGGGAGGCCGAGGGCACCAGGGTCCCATGCCTGCTCCCAGCTGGCCTGAAAGCTGTCCCACGGCCTGAGACAGGCCAGGAAAACCACGTGGGCACTCACCAGACTTAGTCCAAGGTTCTGGACTCAGAGTATGTGTTGCAAAGAGCCCGCTTCTTTTCCTTCCAGTTACTCAGTAGAGTGAGTCTGGAAGTGAAAGACACAATAGCCCCAAAGCGGAAGAAAATTATGCATCCACAGAAATCCAACACTTGCCTTCCGCCTTCCTCATAAGGGGCAAGAAATCTTATTCTGGGTCTCTATTTGCTGGAACTCACAGAGACTCTAGTGGGGAATGAGCATGTCCAAGGCTTACACTAGGAGCCCCCCACCTGCCCCCACCCACTCCACTGCAATAGTAAGAACTTCAAAGAATGTTTGAGGAATCGTGGGAAAGCACACTGAGGAAGAGTGGGTACAGGAGTAAGTTCACACGGTGTCCAGGCCTAGCCTATGTAAGCCCTCTCCTCAGTAAGATCTCCACTCTTATGCCAGGAAATGTAGGGTCCCAGCTTCTTAGCTGGGAACCACGGGTGGGTTCATGATTGAGAAAGTTTGTTCTTCTTAGACAGTAAATCCACTCACACTTGCAGGTGTCCTTCATCTTCTATCATGGAATTCATGCAATAAGCTCCCAACACATGCACACTAGAGAACCATGTGGAAAAATATGGGTAATAAAAGATAAATATTAAGTAGCAAGCCATCACACCTGGACTCTTAATGAAGGTGCTGTCGTCTGGATCTCAAGCATTGCCACCCAGGTGCCATTGAGGTGGTGCGGACTTTAGGAGGTGGGGTCTACTGGAAGGTCTTCAGGTCACGTGGCTTGCCATTGAAGGGATTGGTGAACCCCAGGAAATGGTAAACCCTTTTGATGGCTCACATTTTTTTTTTTTGGAACTGGGGGTCAAACCCAGGGTTTTGCAAATGCAAGGTAGATGCTTTGCCACTGAGCTACATCCCAGCCCTCACCTTGATACTTTAAAAAATTATTTCCTGGCCTCTAAGGGCTTCAAGTCTAGAGGGAATCAAGATGAAAGTTCCTGGGTAACCCATTTTCCTCCATCTGACTATCAGCTTGACTGGCTATAGGTGTGGGCTGTGCTCGCTGGAGATTCGGAGTGCAGCTTGAGATGCTGGCCCTTAAGTATACTGATGCCACCAGCCTGGGAACACATCCACTCATTCAAGAAACTCTCGCTAAACCCTTTTTTCTTTTTTAACTTTCTCAGCTGTGGACAACTTGAGGGAAAGAAGTTTCTTCCTTGTCTTAGCATCTATTTACCTAGCCCAGGTGCCTACAGGGACTGGTAATTCTAAAGAAATGAGGAAAACAGCTTATCAAATCCTGAAGCTGGATTTCTCTGGTACTTTGGAAGGCACAATGACCTGAAGAAACAATCCACATGGAACAAACTCACAAAAAATGAACACAGAAGCAAGGACACCAAGTTCCCAACATAATGGTACTAACACCACACAGATGTTTGTGTACTAAGTCTGAAAGGACAGAACATGAGCTATGAGAAATGTCATACCAAGCTCACCATAGGGTCATTTTTACTTTCCTAATAAAGCACACTTTCAAGTAAGATCATAATGTCCATTTTACAACCAAAGAAGTGGATGAATCCACTCCACTCCAAAAAACAAGGATAATTACATTAATGGGGGGTGGGGTTCCAAGAACTAAAGAAAAAGCACAAGCAAAACCAAATTATAATCACACTTGACAAAGACTTCCTGCTGGATAATAATATTTTAATCTGAGACTGAGTATAGACTTCAGTGTATTGTGACACCCAAGTTTGCAGTTCATTTTGATGATTCATCCTGATTCTTTGAAGTAATCAGGGCTGCTCTGCATGTATTTGTGAATCCCTCAGAGCCTCAACACACATGTAAGTGCACTTGAGAGATCTTTGATCCCAACTTCCCTCCAAGCTCTGTCCTTTACAATGGTTTGCCCCAACACTCTATCTATGAAGCAGTCTGAACTGTAGGTGCAAACAAGACTCATTCAGAATTCTGCTCTGCCATTTTCCCAATTTGACCTTGGGGAGACATGAAGACTGACCCTCCGCTGCAGGTGATCAGAAATCACCTCCACACTGAGAGCACTCCATATCCTGCCCTAGCCCCACTCTATCCCTTATATGCTTCTACCATGATGTTCATCTATCTTATTCCAGTGATCTGTCAGACTCTTACCACCAAGGTCATTATCTCCCATTGTCACTGTCTCTCACTGTGGTTTAATAAATGTTCTAGGCTAAAGAACTAAACAGAGAAAGAAAAAAGGATCTAGGTTGGATGAAGGCTTTGAGACAAGGAGGTGGAGTGAAGGTCAGTGAATGCAACACAAAATGAAAATTGGAATCTGCCAAATGACTCTCATCCTTAAAAATAAAAGCATTTTTTTTCCTATAAATACATTAGGGAGGAGGTTCCTAATCCAAACATAACCCAGTAATTCATATCTGTTTTCCTAAATAAAATGATGCTGCTCAGTAAACAGAACAAGACTGCCTGAACTATCCATTTCCACTCTAGCTACATATAAAGGCCATTCCTGGGCCAAAAAAGTGGCATTTTTAAGGGACCCTACTAAACAAGAGGAAGGCTACCAAATCAAGCAGACATCAGCAATAGTCAAAACTATCCTAATAACACGAATAAGGTGTCGGAGGCAGGCAGTTACAGGGCAAAAGAGGAGGGGAGGTCCTCAAAACTTCCATGTCTGGGCTTGACCCGAGCCTCCTGGTCTCAGAAACGGGCTGAAAACGTTTGCCTGGGTGTCGGTGTCATTCCAGCACGAGGTGGACAGGAAGCAGAGCGGCCACGGGAGGTGACCGGCCTCCTCGGCCTCACGAGTCCCTGGCCCGGGAAGGTTCCTCCCTACTGTCCGAGGGTGGTGGGGCTCCAAAGATTCTGGCAAGGAGGCCTCGGTTGGAGCGGGCCTGGTCCTGGACTGTGGCCAGGCGGGCCCGTTCACGCCCCCCTGGCCGCGCGGCTTTGCGCGCCCTCAGCTCCTGTTCCGTGGGTCGCTGGGCAAACGCCCAGGAGCCGTCGGGGCGGGTAGGATCCCCGTCGGCGGCAAGGAAGCGCTGTCCCCGCTCCACACTCCGGAGATAGAAGTCCGTCTCGCGCTTGGCCTGGGCCACCTCTGCTCTCAGGCGCTGGCGTCGCACCTGGCGCTCAAAGGCCAGGTGTTCACTGAGGTGGGACCAGGTAAACCGGTGCAGGTACTGTAGGCGACAAGACAAGGAAAGCTCGGGGACAGGTCGGACCGGAGGGGACGGGGCGGGCCCGAGACCGGCCGCTCTCCTCACCTTGAGGTTCCACAGGTCGTACCGGAAGGGGCTGCGCCGGCGGGTGCCCATGGGAGTGTTGTGCAGGCTGGCCGCCACCCGCTTGGCCACGCGCTTGTCGCGGAACTCCACCCAGCCCTCGGTGTAGTCCTTGCTGTACCTGGACCGCTTCTTCCCTCCGGAGGCTGCCGCCGCCTTTTTCTTGCGTCTCACGAACTGGTCTGCGCACCCAAGGCAGAGCAGTGGTCAGCCCCCTCTGGGGCAGGGCTCCGGGCCGCGCCCTCCCGCCCCGCCGCCGGCCGGGGTCCCGCCTCCCTGCCCGGCCAGGAGCGAGGACTCCGAGGCGCATCCGCCCCGCGCCCGCTTCCCCGACTCACAGCCCCTTCCCTCCGGGCTCAAGTCCCCGCCGCGACTTCTGGTCCGTGCCCGTCAGGGGCGAGTCGGCGCGGGGGCGGGACTCGGAGCCGAACCCCCGCCGCCAAGACCTGGGCACTCACCCTCCGCCTGGAAGAAAACGCGCCCGACCTCGCCATAGGCGCTGAGCAGGTTGCGGACGTGCAGGGGCCGGAAGCGCGGCGGAACGTGGCCCAAGTACACGATGCCCGGCACCACCCGCTTCTGGCTGCAAGCTGCTTCTTCGCGTTCCTCCGGCTCCTCCTCCGCCTCTGTTTTCGGGTTTGGCGCGTCCAACGGCCCTTCCTCCGAAGTTGCCTCAGCCTCCTCAGCCTCCATGCCGAGGATACGTGAAGCACGACAGCCGTAAAGCGGTCGCTTCCGATGGCGCGACCAAGAGCCGAGCTCCAAGCCGGAAGCTACGTTACAAGTCAGCCGTAAAGCGACCGCTGCCGTGACGCGAATTGTGCACGACGGCCTGCGGCCTGAGGCGGCGACGACAAGAGGGACTACGGGTCAGCCCAGAGGGCTGGGTCCTAGAGGGCGGAAGTGAGGAGCAGATTCAGGGCGAGGGGCGTTGTGAATGTTTTGAAAATTTGTATGACGATTAGAGAACTTGCTTGACCCCTATTTTGCAATGATATATCCTCCACATATACCATCCGTATTTATTTATGTTGCAAATTCCTGCGGGATGCACACACGACTTGGGCCTCAGCGCTCGCTGCCTGCGCTCGGGACTGGCTCGCACCTGAATACTGCCTGCTGGGCGCCTTGGCAACCTCCACCCCCACGACCCTGGCCCTCGCCCTCTGGGGTGCCTCGGGACCATCAGTGCAAACCCACACTCCCCCGAGGTCGCAGTGGTCAGACATGGCCACAGCCACAGTCGCAAGAGTGATCTCTGAAGCACTGGTACTTTGGAGAAGAATCTAAAATGTTCTCTCACAAGTTCCAATGTGACAGAGGGTCGTAGCAATCTTTCCTCTTTCCCTCCCTCCAAGGACTCAGTCTGTCAGTCAAGCATTGGCAGTCTCCTTTGGGAGTACCTGGGGAACCCGGTGTGGGTGTGTTTTTGTTTGTTTGGGTTTTGGATTTTTTGCATCCTATAGCTAGGGATCCTAGCGACCAGGACCCAGAGATTGGAACCTTCCAAAAGGTGACTCCTTCGAGCCGGATTCGAACCAGCGACCTAAGGATGACCACCAGTAAACACCTACAGTCCTCCGCTCTACCAACTGAGCTATCGAAGGGCACGCTGGTGGACTCCTGCAGTATAGTTTAAATATTGCATTCATGGTTTAATTTTTGACTATTCAAATCCACCTTGAAAACACATGAACAGGAGGAAGTTGTTGAGGGTATTAGAGATGTTCTAAAAATGATCTGGCATTAGTGATTATACAAGAACACGAAAAACTTATTCCCACGAACTTCAAGATTTATGCTTTTTATTGCATAAGTATTTCATGTAACTCTTAAATTGCCACCAATTGTCCAAGTCGCTCCCTTGAGTGTAATAGATTGGACCACCCTTAGCACTTCACCTGCTCTTCCGTCTGCTTAGCAGCCTCCTTCCGCTGCTGAAACCGAATGATTATAGTAAGGTTTTCATAAAAATAGACAGCTAGGTTCAAGACTCGCCATCTTGAAGCACAGTACTTCCCAATTTATTTGGGAAACTGATGCAGCTTTCTGAAAAACAAGGAAAATTAGGGTTCGACACAAGTTATAGACACCAAACATGAGAGGTGTTTTTTGTGTCGTTTAGGAATTGGGTATCTCATGCTATATTGCCCAGTTATAATGGGGCAAAACCAGCAAACACAGCACGCTCTTCACCTATAAGAGAAGTGTAAATATTCCCTTTAGAAGACGACTGTCAGCTTTGCTTTGCTAACACGCACCAGTGGTGAAGTTTAGCTTCCTGGCTCCTGAACGCTGACGGGGAAAACAGGAAGCCATATGAACAGACTTGTCTTTTATGAAGTTCATGAGTTAGGAAATTTGTGGAAACACTGTATTCTTAATTTATCTACAAAAGATCCTCACTCATTAAAGTTCTTCATAACTAACGTCTTGGAAAAATACATTTTCAAAAGATCCTGTTCAGTGAGTCTGCAGCGCACAACTAATATTTCATGAGTTTTTCAGCCGGCTCCTCTCCGTGGGAGGCAAGAACACACCGCCTGGTGAGGGTCTTCTAGAAATGCACGTCGCCGGGACGAGGGCGCGCGGCGCAGAGGGACCAGGAGCTGGCAGCCCGCGTCCCCTCGAGTCCCGCGGGCGAATCCGGCCGCACACCCAGCCTGCTGCCCGGCGGGCGCGGACCGTCCCCCAGGGGGCGCCCTCCGCGCCAGCCCTGTACCGCCGCGGGTCCCCGAGGGGCTGAGAGCAGATGCCTTTGGTCACCCGGAGCCTGGACGGGCGTAAGCCCCGAGTGACGGGCGCGTAGCAAGTGCCTGCGGTTACAGAGCTCGCGCGACATCTCCCTGCACAGGCGCCAGCCGCACTCCCAAGACACTCAGCTCTCGTCCTCGCGCCACTCACTTGTCGCCACTCCTGGGCGTGGGCATCTGGGTGGATTGAGGGGTGCTGCCCCTTTTCGCCCTGCACACCGACCTTTCCCAAACAGAACGCGGGGAACTGGGGACACGTCTCGGGTTTGCGGAAGGATCCGGTGGGGGCGGTGGGTGTGTGTGCAAAAGGGACTGGACTGATGGGGCTGCGTCTGGGTGATGAAGTTTTGCTCCAGTGACCGTTCGAAATGTCGCCTTAAAATTCTTGAGAAAGTACCAAGGTGACTGAGAACCCAAAGGCCGCTGCTTATAAATCCTAATAAAAACTAACCCCCTCGTCGTAGGATCCTGCATGGTGTCACCGGATCCTGCATGGGGTCACCAGTCCGCGGGGTGCACCCTCCAGACCCGAGGTGAGAGCAGACTTGGTAGGAAGACTACTTAGGCCTACTCATCTACCCGCTTCCCGAAGGGACTGAGTTCCTAGTTCATTCTGGACGTGGCTTAAACACATAAGCAGGAGAACCTACTCACAATTGTACAAACAGGTTTAGCTGTGTTTTGTCTAGATCAAAACTCTAATCCTTCGAGCCGGACTCGAACCAGCGACCTAAGGATGACTGTTTGCAGATCCCCTACAGTCCTCCGCTCTACCAACTGAGCTATCGAAGGATACACGGGGAGTGACTGTTTAGGGTACTTAAAATAATTTGTGCCCTGATGATTTCTGCTTTGCCTATATAAAAAGTATGAACACGTTTAAAAACAACGTTCTCAGATACTGAAAATAGCCTATAGTCTATGTAATGATCCTGATATGGGGTTTCATGGGTCTACGAATATGTAAAATTCTTTGGGCGGTATACCTAAAGTCATCAAGCTCTCTACATATTTATCTCAAAACGAAAACACTAATAAGACCCCATATCCTCCTCTTCTATTTATAATTAATATCGGGCGAATTCTCCCCGATTCTCCCTGATATCCTACCCTCCTAAGTGAGCACCTCTTTTCTTTATCAGAGAGTCTGGGTTTACCGGCATGAAAGCACATGTGGCCAGCTATACACTGCTCTCCGTCCTCCCGAAGCGCTAAAGTCAGCTCACTGCAGAGAGAAAACGAAATCATTACAAGAAAAAGGATGGAGCTCGAGTTTGAAATAAGCCAAACTCAGAAGGTCAAGGGTTGTATGTTTTCTCTCCTGTTTCTCTCATTGCGCAAGGCTGCCCGGCTTGCTGAGGCCGTCGGGTGTCCCCGAAGGGCGGAGACCCCAGGTGGCTCCGGACACCGAGAAGGGCAGGGGCAGGGCGGGCGCGGCGCAGACCCTAGGGCGCTCGCTTGGCGCTTGGCGTGCGGGAGGCGGCGGGATCCACGCCCGCATCCTGCGGTGACTTACTTACCTCGCCCGGCGCAGAGGCTCGGGCCCTCCCCTAGAGCCACGTCCCCGAGTTCGCTCATCGCGGTGGAGGACACCGACCGCAGCTTCTGTCTTCGACAGTTCTGCCATAGGCAGGGATCTCCTTCCCCTCCGTCCTGGGGGATCTCCTCTCCCCCTCCGTCCTCCCGGATCTCCCTCTCCCCTCCGTCCTCCCGGATCTCCCTTTCCCCTCCGTCCTCGGGGATCTCCTCTCCCCTCCGTCCTGGGGGATCTCCTCTCCCCTCCGTCCTCCCGGGTCTCCCTTTCCCCTCCGTCCTCCGGGATCTCCTCTCCCCTCCGTCCTGGGGGATCTCCTTCCCCTCCGTCCTCGGGGATCTCGTTTCCCCTCGGTCCTACGGGATCTCCCTTTCCCCTCGTCCTCGGGGATCTCCTCTCCCCTCCGTCCTCCCGGATCCCCCTTTCCCCTCCGTCCTCGGGGATCTCCTTTCCCCTCTGTTAGGGTCCTAAACAAGTCAAGATGGCGCCTGGCATTTTGCCAGAGGGAGTGGTGTGAGAAGTAAGGCCAGCGAGCCATTAAGATGATAGAGATTCCTTAATGACTGACTGCTGTGTCTAGATCATGTCGATTAAGTTAAGCTGTGTGTAATCATGACATGCTGATTCCTTATTGGTTGACTGCTGTGTCTAGTTTATGTTAATTAGATAAGCTGTGTGTCGTTAGTTATGTATATATACCCCTCCTGTCCCACCGTATCAGCCTTCACAAGTTCCTCGTCACTCGCCCCCTGGTTATTTCGCCCAGCCAGCGGGGCTGTGGCACCCTTCCGTCCTCCGGGATCTCCTTTCCCCTCAGTCCTCGGGAAGCTCCCTTTCCCCTCCGTCCTTCCTTCCGGATCTCCTTTCCCCTCCATCCTCCGGGATCTACCTTTCCTCTCCCTTTCCCCTCTGTCCTCGGGGATCCCCCTTTCTCCTTCGTACTCCTGGATCCCCCTTTCCCCTCCGTCCTCCGGGATCTCCTTTCCCCTCCGTCCTCGGGGATCTCCTTTCCCTTATGTCCTCCCAGATCCCTCTTTCCCCTCCGTCCTCCCGGATCCCCCTTTCCCCTCCGTCCTCCCG